ATCTGAATTTTCAAAGACTTGCTGTTCAATTATTTACTATGTCATCTATCAATGTTTCCTGGAAGGAACACTCTGAAAGGATCCTTTTCCCAACGCTAGCTCCTTCAGACTGCAAAAAGAACAATTGCCCAGAGAGAAGCCGAAAACAAATACGCCACAGCACAGCGTGAATAAAGATTAGTTTGTCCTCTGACTCATGAGGTAGAAAAGGAATGAGCAGCTTGGTGCTGTATGGTGAGAGGGTGTCATTTTTATTTTGATATCACAGACGGGAGAAGAACGGTAACTACTCTGCCATTTCGCTACGAGACTTGTCTCAGACTATACAGATTGTTTCTCCCTTGGCTCACCCTGCAGAATACGTACTTGTCTACAAACTGACGATTCCAGAATACAGATACTCAGAAAAGGGCCACAGCTGCCAAGAGGTAAAATCACTGCAGGTGGAACGCAGAGACTGAGTCGGAACCCCGGCATTTCTTCTGGGAACACAGCCAGAGAGCTGGAAGAGACAGCTGTCCAAACCATGAGGAGTTTCTGGCCAGGTTTATGGCTGCAGATGACGATATTGTTCAAACTGAGGAAAAGGGGCAACTGGGACCGAATTCAAAAGGAATTTCCCCTAAATGGCACCTACATACGGTGAGCTGATTGTGAGTAATCGGTACACGCTATTTTCTCTATCCAGAATGCCCTTCCCTCTCTATTTCTGACAAATTCCTACACTCTGTCCCTCAAGTATCTTTCAGATATCACCTTCCTTGGGAATGTGTCCCTCACTCCTCTCCATCCTCGGCTTTCCAGTGAACTTTAGCCCTTTTTCACGTGACTACTGACTATGCCTCTAACTCCTTTTTCAGGCTGACTGTATCTTGAGGGCACTTTTGTAATCTAGAATGGGGGTTGGCCCATTTTTTTGCATCCACAATTCTTTGTAGCTAAATGGAATGAAGAAATTTATGTTTAAAATACCCTAAAGGTCAATGGATGCCTGAAACTTTTAACAGAATAAATTGAAATTAAATTCAAAAATAAGGCTGAATTGGCTGGAGTGCAGAGGCTCATACCTGTAATCCTAGCACTGTGGGAGGCTAAGGCAGGTGGATTGCTTGAGCTCGGGAGTTTGAGACCAGCCTGAACAAGAGTGAGACCACATCTGTATTGAAAATAGAAAAATTAGCCAGGTGTAGTGGCAGGCATCTGTAGTCTCAGCTACTCCGGAGGCTGAGGCAAGAGGATCGCTCAAACCCAGGAGTTTGAGGTTGCTGTGAGCTATGATGCCATGGCACTCTATCTAGGGTGACAAAGTGAGACTGTCTCAAAAAAAAAAAAATCTGAATTAAGACTGGACAGTACCCAAAAGACATTATCTTACCTAAAAGACTTGGGTCATCACCCAACTGGTGATTAGGCGAGCCAGTCGTGAAATGTGACCTCAAGCACAGGCTACACAGGCTACCCTTCTGGTTTCAGGTCTATTGCCAAGTCACTGGATAAAGAAAAGAGGTCTTTCTTTTCTAAAGAAAACCAGATCTCTGAGTTTTTCACATCTTTTCAAAGATGTTCCACATTAAAATATCGTTGAACATGTGTATCTATGAAGTTCCCGGTGAATGAGCTGATTTGCCTTAGGGGAAAACCATTATTTGTTAGATAGTACTGTCCTTGTGAATTTCTGCAGGAGGTTTAAAAGGTAAGAGTGACCAGAACCTTAATCTGGCATGCAGTGTACATGATTTAAAGAGAAAAAAAAAATGCCTTGCTTAGTTGAGAAACGAAAATTTCATTTGGGTTCAGAAACTGACGAAGACTACAGACTTCAGCAAAATCAGCAGAAAAAGAAAAACAAGTCAGCACACTGACCACATCAGTGCAGTACTGCCCACAGTCAGCCTTCTCTATCAACACTGTAAGCAGCATAAACTAGAATTCACTTCGTTGTGGGAGGAGTTTTTGACTTTAGGATTTTACCCACATTCGGGAAATTCGTTCTTTTTACTGTTATTTTAGAAATGCCATATAGCTCTTCTCATCTTCTACCAATTCCATCTTCTCCTTCCTACATGATTTCCCCTCCCCTTTTTCTAAAGAGTCCATCTAGTGTTACAAGGTTCCTCTTAATTCCCGTTACTTTCTTTTCACAAGTCTAAATATGTTGAAATAAATTATTTTTTGTTAATAGTAAATATAGTGAGAAAGGCAGGAATCAAAATATATTTTAAATTTATACTAATAATAATCATAGAAGATTCCATGTAGTATGACAGATTTATAGTGTGATCTAGCTGTGTTTATGACCAATTATACAGTGACATGAATGGATCATTTAGATGACTACAATCTGGATCAACCATGTTACAGACGGGCAATAAAGTGACTCATCTTTTCTAGTGACAATATAACTGGCTACACATATATTATGATTGTTGATAACTAATTTCAACCGTGTTATGTGGAAGGCCTAGTCCTACCCTTACTACATTTTTGAGACTACAGTTCTAGAACAGAATTGCTACAACATTGAGAAACAGCTATGCGGACGTCAATATCACTGTCGAATAGATAGATGCTGCTGCCAACAGGTTATTTCTTACTCCAAGATGTGAGAAAAGCATCTCTGATAACATTAAATATTGAGTCCTCCTCCTGGCAGCCAGGTTAAGTAAGCCATTTCTTTATAGGTAAATTGGGTTAGAAAGCACAAGGCCAGCATTTAAAACAGGGATATGAGACGCTAAGAACTTCTGTCTCTATTTCCCTCTTCAATCCTACCCCTTTATCCATAGCAAAAGGTGCTCATCAGTCCTGGTATTTTCTAGTTTTCCTCTTTCCTATACAAAGGATTCCTTCTCAACATTGCTTCAGGCAGCTATTATCAGTTAATTACAGTTTGCTTTACTAACACTGATTTACAGGGAAATAACATGTAAATATTATGCAGAGTCTTTTTCAAGCACCTCCTGTCTCCTGCAATCCAGCAATTTGTCCCTGAGACAATGAGGTCCTCTTTACTTTCAAAATGCACTGGACTGAATTTTGCCAGATAAAAGTTCTTTTTAGCCTTGGAACTTTCTCCTGAGATAGTCAATTAATTGTAGCTATTGATGATGAGGAGGAGGAGGAGGAGGAGGATGAGGATGATGTTTGGAGATGACCGAGCCAATGGACACATATTAGGGCAGAAGTAAGAGTGGCCTTATTCCTAAGAGGAACATCCATGATTCACAGGATCCAAGAAGTCAGTGCAGCCTAAGAAGGAAGCCTAGAAATAGAAAAGCATTTTTAGCTCAGTACAGGGCCATGCAAGATTAGTTCTAGAAATGGGTCAAAAAGAAACCAACTACATCTGCAAATACTTTACTTTTACCATTCCTGATACTGGAGCTTCTGATATGAAACTCTGTTTTGTTAGACAACAGACCCCTGGAATATTCTTTAGAACCCTCCCTAAAATCATTCCTCTCTGAAGAACCAGATTTCATACATATGAATTATGACTTATAACTATTTTTAGATAATGAATCTAAGATGAAAGCGATCCCAATTCATGTGAGCTTTCTCACTTTATTAGAAGGTCAAAATATCCAGGTCAATAAATCTGTAGAGGTGCTTACCATGCACCCAGCACTGTCAGGCGCCAGGACTGGTAATGAACAAGCAGCTTAGCAACAGTGACAAAAAGCTGTCAAAGGTCTTCCCCCTTCCAGTTACATAATGGCTTAAATCCAAGTTTCAAATCTTCAGAAAGAAGATAAATAAAAAAAAAATCCACCTGTTTTATAGATGAGACAGCTAGCTTAAGAATATAGTATTAAATGATTTTTTTTCTAGCCACAGAAAGAGTGGTGGGTCAGAATCAAACCAAACTCTCACCCTTGAGTCGCCTGTATTTTCTGTGTCTTCTACAAAGTCTCTACTTTCAGCTTTGTTCTAGTTTACAAGAGTATTTCAACTGTGTATATTGACTTCATCCTATAATCTGGACTACTATTTCAATGTACCTAAAAGAAGTCTAACAGTATTTTCTAAGACACTGGCTCAAGTAAGAACTCGTATGTCCAAGAAAACAAAAACACCTTTGTAGGAAATAATATTTCTTAGATGAAAGTATTGGCATTTCACTGAGGTTAACTGTAGCATTATTTAGAACAGGCAAAAGGCAGAAGTTGTTTTGTCATCATTACAACTCCCTTTTTCACCAACAGTTCCCAGGAAATTTGGGTTGCCAAATGTCCACTGATGAATGAATGCATAATTCATTCAGAAAATATAATATTATTTATACAACGAAATATCATTATTATTATTGAGACACAGTCTTACTTTATCGTCTTGGGTAGAGTGCTGTGGTGTCATAGCTCACTACCTCAAACTCTCGGACTCAAGCAATCCTCTTGCCTCAGCCTCCTTAGTAGCTGGTACTACATATGCCTGCCACAATACTTGGCTAGTTTTTTCTTTTTTAGTAGAGATGAGGTAGGGACATGAGGGTGTCTTGCTCTTGCTCAGGCTGGACTGGAACTCCTAAACACAGGTAACCTACCCACATAGGCCTCCCAGACTGCTAGGATTACAGGCATGAACCACGGTGGTCAGCTGCACAATGGAATATTATTATTCAGGCTTAAAATCAAAGGAAATTCTGCTACAGGCCATGACATCGATAATATTGAGGACATTATACTAAGTGAAACAGGCCAGTAACAAAAGACAAAAACTGTATGATTCTACTTAAAATGAGTATCTGTGGTAGTCAAATTCATAGAAACAGCAAGAAAAATGGTGGTTGCCAGGGACTGAGGGGAAGGGAAAATGGACAGTTTCTTAGTGGGTATAAAGTCCCAGCTTTTTAAGATGACAAAGTCCTGGAGATTTTTGCACAACAATGTGAAAATATTTAGTACTACTGAACAGTATACTTAAAATGAATAAGGTAATACATTTTACGGTATATGTATTTTACCACAATTAAAAACAAAAAGAAAATACTGGTAACTTACCTCATCGTGTTAAAGTCTAATTTTTAAAAACAATTTTCCTTACGGCTTCAGTGATTGATGGGGACAGGCTCTCTTGGAACTATTAAGGGAAATCAAAGAATTTTCTGTAATGCTTCGATCAATCAGCAGAAAATTTTTAAAAAAATAATACTTTTAATACCATTGTCCATAAGATTTGAACTATTTAAAAAACTGTAATTTGCTATTCTGTGTTGTAAAAATTAATTTAGGCAATGAAGCAGATGATGGTTTCTCATGAGATTGGTGCTAATGCTGTTCTATTTTTGTTCTAATCTTTCTCTTGAGGGACCAGAAGCAGAATAAATGCACATTACCCCAAGTATCTATAATGTTTATCCACGTGAAACCAGAGGATGTACGTCATGGAGTAAAACCTCTGAACATGACTGTGTAGGGATCACGCGAAACCTGCCTTTTTCACTGTGGTCGGTTCACTGAAAGATCAACTCACAATTATGGTAGATTAATAAGAGGAAGGTTTATTTACAAATACCACGCACATGGGGGGAAATCACAAGAATGATTTCCCAAAGTCTCAGTGATGGTCAGTGACTTCTAAAGATGCCTTTTAGAAGGGGGGGAGGGGTGTAGAGAAACTGGAAAGCAAAGGTGCAGTAAGTGGTTGCTAGGGGGGATGTGTAGATGCAGGGAAACAGATTGAATTGTAGATTAACCTGAGAGAGAAGTCTTCTACTTCAAATGACCTTAGGGCCAGGTCTATTTGTATGCAATCAGCAGCCTTTTCTGATTCTAAATCAGGTCACCCAGGTTTTATGGAGGAGAGGCCAGTGCTTTCTCATCAAAAATGACATTTTAATTTAAATTATTCTTTATACCAAGGAATTATATTTTGGGGTGAAATTTCCTTAGCTCCTTCATTCCCCTCGTCTGGAACTTCCCTAGAAGTTTCATACGTTATGAGCTGAGTTGGTAACCATGGAGAGAGCAGGTTAGTAATCTAGTAATAAGATGGCTGAAAAAGATACAAGAACATAAGCTAGGATGAGAATGGAGGATAAGCAGAAAAGAACAGATCTAAGCATGCTTCCCCACACTTCATTAAACCAGTCTTCTATTCTTGGGAATAGGTTAGTAAAAGAGTTCTATCTTAGTGGTGTGGGTGCATAGTTCACATTCTTCCCCCTCTTTCCCAAAGTCCAAAGTCCAATTAAAATAAGTCCTACAAGGAATTTCCTCAGGTTTCAAGTTCTGGGCAATTTAAGTGAATATTTAGGTTCCAGTTTTTCCTGAGGTATGTATATGGACATAGCAGATAGCGTTCAGTACTGCACAAATGTTTCCAGGGTAGCCAACAGGTGATCTTTGTTGAGCCTTAAGGCTTTAGAGCAAATATAACTGTTGTATATGCTTCTGTATTTTTTTAGCCAGTCCCTCAGTCCTGTTTAACAGATTAGTTTATTAAAAGTTATGTCTCACTTTATGAGCTGGCATTGCAGTTAAGGTTGGAATCTAATAGAGGTGGGCCACAGATTTTTTTCTTTTGAACCACTTTCTCTGATTTCTCACTTTACTAAAACCAAATTATAGCAAAACTAACTTAATTGCCAAAATAAAGTGTATTTTCAGTATACTGAGTCTGACTGTTTGCATAAAGTGCAATAAGAATAATTATTAGCCATCTAGGCTTTTCTCTTTTTTAAAATTGGCTTTGCTGGAACTTTTAATAAGGAATCTCAGGTTAGACTTGAAAGCCTCTCACGAGCAAGGTTTCATCTGTGCCATTAGATATCTGTATGCATTAGGTAAATTCCTCTTCTCTAGAGGTCTCCAAGAAAATTGTGGTTCCTGGACCTGTCAGAAAGCGACATTCTTTTTTTTATTTTGAGAGAGTCCACTATGTCACCCTTGGAAGAGTGCCGTGGCATCACGGCTCACAGCAACTTCAAACTCTTGGGCTTAAGCGATTCTCTTGCCTTAGCCTCCCAAGGAGTTGGGACTACAGGCACCTGCCACAATACCCAGCTATTTTTTTGTTGCAGTTGTCATTGGTGTTTAGCTGACCCAGGCTGGGTTCGAACCTGCCATCCTCGGTGTATATGGCTAGCACCGTAACCACTGTGCTATGGGCGCCAAGCCAGAAAGTGACATTGTTTACTTACTGCAGACCAGGAAATGTTATTGATGGGTGTATGGCCAGTTTTTTTAACGGGATTTTTTTATTGGCCTCATAAAAGTTATTATAAGTTATTTAACCATAATTCCTTAAGGTAGTCTGGACACTTCTGAAAAATGCTATTTCAGTCAAAGCCTTGGTAAAATAATTAGTGCCTCTATCCTGTCCTATAGAATAACACAGATTCTTATTGAACTTATGCAAATGACTGTACTGTCAGAAATTAAGAGTACTTACAAATGGTTTTCAAATCTTAGAGAAATCAAGGAGAAAAAAATAAATGCTTCAAATTTTACTTTTAAGTACATACATTGCTGAAAGCTATAAATAGCTTAAAAGATAGAAAATGATTTTTTTGACTACTGGAAAACAGAACACAGAAAGAATTAGCAATGTTTCAAAGAAAAAGCCATAACAAATCAGCTCAGTTCCACTAACTAATTTCTGTTCTGGTTGAAGTTAGGCTAGTAATACTCAAAGACATGTTAGCCATCTACTTAAAGTCCTGGAAGTTTGCTTTTAGTTTGATGGTATTTAATTTCCAAAGTCATCAGAAATTTAAATTCAAGGGAATTTGCCAGCCTTCTCTACTGTTTCCCTTGAAGGACAAACTTTGGACTCAGCCAGTTACAAAAAACACTTTCTGAGATGAAGTAAAATTGCTACTGACAATATATACTAAGGCAGACCAGTATTTGATACTATTGGAACATACATATATAAATATAATTCACAGAAAATTAACTACCATTTCATACTTGGCAATATTTCCTATACATTTTTAACATACCAAATAAGCCTACTATGTCTTTCTCAGACTTTCAGTGGTCTTAAGATTTCAAATATTTCAAAAAGACCAAATTTAAAGTTTTGATTTGGGACAGTTTGTCAAATAGCAAAGGCAAAACATTTGCCAGGATTACAAGCCAAAAGATTCTAAAGGCAATACAGAGTCAAATGGATAACATGCAAATTCCTTTATAAATTTCCTTTTATGAGCTTTATTTAACCTGCACAGACTATCAACAAACATTCTAAACCTCCCTTCATTTTTGCCCTACCTTTCATTTCCTTAAATAACCATTCTCTTTCAAGATACAAGATCCTTTCTTACACAATGCCATTTTTTTTCTGTTTAATTTTTCTTACTCTTAAAAAACCATTTTTCACAAAACAGGATCACAGTTTACTACGAAGTTAATTATTCACTTGGCTAAACTTATAATTAGAAGGTTTAAAAGGGAAGAATCTTATTCTCTGACAAAGATTCAGTTTCCCAAAATATTTAAACAACCAAATTATTATATTTTACAAATGAGAGACATTTCATGGAATATAACACTGATATAGAATTTTCCCACTCAGGGCTAGACAGGGATTCCCCCCCTTTTTTGGAGAGGGGAATAAGCAGGCTATCCTCTCCAGGCCACATCCCCCAGACTCTAGCAAGGTTATGAGCAAAGCAGCCTGAAACACCCCTGGGAGGTTCCACCTTGGGTAGGGAGCACATACCCCACTCCTTTCACTTGAGGAAAAAAGAAAAATGCAAAGACCTAAAATCTTGCCCCAGGAGAGGAAGTGTATTCAGTCATTTCTTAATGCACTCATTAAGTTTGTAAATATGTTTTTCATCTACCAAGTTCTGGCCAAAATGTAATACAAATCCCTAGACAAGGACCCATGTGGATGACTTCCAACTCCCGTCTTCCCCTTGCCAGAAGCTCTGGTATTTTTCACTACCTCTGTATTCTGCTCTATCTAACAAAATCTTATCTCACCACTGATTTGTGGTCCGTGGGCTCACATCCCCCTCCCTCAAATCCCAGAGAGCAAGGACTCATCAAAGAAGAAATTCTAGTAATAATATGACTTCAAGGATTTAAAGTAAAAAATGTTCTGAAGTGACAACATAGGCATCATTCCTGATGTCTTTTCATTGCCCCCCTAAGCCTCAGATGGCTGCAAAGAACAGAACCTGTGTCCTTTACCAGGTGCCGAGTTTATGACAGAAAGCAGGAAAGTAGAACATCTAGTTTCTCTCAGAATAGTCAGGGGACAAAGTTGGAGCAGGGAAGAAGGGGCCATGTGGGCTAGACTGCGTCCTGCAGCTGCTGGCCTAAGCATGGGGAATATGCCATTAGGCCTCACAGAATTCAGAGGCTTAAAATTAAGAATATAGGCTTACAGTCGAATCTAGCACATTTAGAAATATTACAGAGGTGGCAGTTTTACAATTCTCAGACACTTGAACTTTAATAACAGGTGTAAAAACTAATTTTATCTCAAGGGATACCACAATCACCTGAACAATAAGGCATTTGAGTTACTCCTGTTCACACAAAATTCTCAATCTTCCTGGAGATATAGTTAATACAGAGTCTAATGTAAACTCTTTCTTAAAACACTACAGCTTGGTTCCAACAGGGTGGCCTTCTTGTGTGTTTCTCATTTCCTTCCCTCAGACAAGGCACAAACAAGTCACAGATGGGGTGAAAAATGGGGGCCACAGATGGGGCAAAAATAACGATACAGACAGGAGCCACTTACACCATCGTTTTGCCTTGTGAAGGTGGGTAGGGCCGGGGTCCCGCCTATTGTTCAAAACATCTTCTTGGGGATCAGGGAGAGGTAATTGAGGATAGAGAGGAGTATAAGTTGGAGGGGGGTTTAAGATGGAGACAGATCTTAACTTTTGTTCTAATTCAGATTTCTGCTCATCAGGATTTTTAGGGGAGTTTTTAAGGCTAGCCACAACACTGATGTTTGCTTTTCTTTTAATTTGATCTTGTTAGAACTATAAATAAGGCAACTGCTTAAGATGAGAGCGCTCCAAAATTTTCTTTAAATTAAGGAGTTTTTCTAGTTTAAAGGATCCATCTTCTGGCCACTAACAGTTAGAATTTTCTATGGTATGTTTGTTCTAAAAGTGACTCAATCCAATGCCTCTATATAAGGTCCAATGCCTCTTCATAGAGAAAGCCATTTCCAAGAATCCAGAAAGTTCACTTTCAGAAATAGACTTATGATAGAATAGACAATGACAAAAACTCACTCCTCAGAGCTTCACATGTTTGGTACACACAGTGCTGATAAGAATCTTACATGTTGGTGGACTCCCAGTCTTTTCAGACTGGTCGCCTGACGTGTTCCCAGTGAAACACACCCTCTAGATGGCGGAGACTGAGGAGGAGAGAATTCCTACTCAGTCATAAAGTCAAGCTCAGAGACATAAAATAGGATGAGAGGGAAACCTCATATGGTATTTATTTCAAGGACCAACAACAAAATTTGTCTTAAAAGACACCGGACTAGCTAGAACTGTCTAACTATTACTATGTGGAGCCAGTTTGAACAGTCAGGCTGGTGGGGAGCCAGGTCTGAGTTGTACCCTACGGTAATCCTCTTCAGACAAAACAACTCAGAAAGACAAGTGACAAAACAAGAACGAGCAATAACAAAAATAATGATACAAGATATATCTGAGAGGAGATGAAATAAAAAAATATGAATATTCATACATTATAAAGTATCTAAAAAGATACTAATACCAGAGTCGCTTTCAAGACCAGTCAGCAACAAAAAACATTTCTCTTATTAGTTGTAAATATGGAAAGCATGACAATCTTTTACCATCTGCTCAACTGGAGTCCACTGAGAGGAAGATAGGGAGCCCCAATTGGTAAGTAAAATATCTCACCACATGCTGGCTGGTGTTGGGGTTCCAACCTTCCTGCTGCAGAGTTCAGGAGAGCAGGTTGGCTTTAAGATCCTGCCAACCTCATCAAACACTGTAGGGAATCACCAGCCTTTTCCCTTTGGTTGGTTCACTGAAAGATCAACTCACAATGATGGTAGATTAATAAGAGGAAGGTTTATTTCAGGAGTCCTCAAACTTTTTAAATAGGGGGCCAGTTCACTGTCCCTCAGACCGTTGGAAGGCCAGACTGCAGGCCCCGGGACAAGTCGGCTGCTAAGTAGGACAGGCAGCGGTGGCAAAAACACCCGGCGGGCAGGATTAATGTCCTCGGCGGGCTGCATGTGGCCTGCCAGCCTTAGTTTGAGGATGTCTGGTTTATTTTCAAATACCACGCACATGGGGGGAATCACAAGAATAAGATTTCCAAAGTCTCAGTGATGGTCAGTGACTTCTAAAGATGCCTTTAGAAGGGAGGGAAGGTAGAGAATCTGGAAAGCATAGGTGTAGTAAGTGGTTGCTAATGGGGATGTATAGATGGAGGGAAACAGGCTGAATTATAGGTTAACATGTGAGAAAGGTCTTCTGCTTCAAATGACTTTAGGGCCAGGTCTATTTGTATGCAAATACAAACACCCAGGTTTCATAAGAAGAGACAGTGCTTTCTGATCAATAGTGGTGTTTTAATTTAAAATATTCTTTATACCAAGGAATCATATTTTGGGGTGAAATTTTCTTAGCTCCTTCCTTAGCAATTTATGGTTATATTCAATTTCTACATTTATATGCATCTGTAGTCTTAGCCATCATTACAACTCTCTTTTTCACCAACAGTTTCTAGGGCATGCAATTTCAAGCACTGAAAAAACCATGGGGTCTAAAATAGGGTTGTAGATAAATGCCAAAGTTGATGACTGAGAAATGACGGATGGTGCCTTTCCTATTCTTTGCTGATTGTTGTCTAAAAGGAGCTAGAACCATGACTGGAGATGAGTTTCTGCCCCTTAATTCTCTGTTTCCATTTCCACAGTCCTCAATCACGTGTCTGAGCAGCGGGCAGGTTTTTCCCCCATGGAATCCGCATAGCTAACCTGACACAATTAACTGGTAGGAGATTGATATAAACAAATATTTAAAAGTTCAGAGTAGAAATTTATTTATTGGTTTAAAAATGCTCATTACTATCTTTTATAATCTTATAAAATGAGATTAGTCTTATATTAAGGAAGAAAGAATTCTGATTGGAGACTTTCAAGATGCTGTATCTAATCAGAGACTTGGAAGATACTGACCACATGAATAGAGTTGAAGGATCATTTTGGGTTTTCCAAAGTCATGTTCTTCCATGATACCACTTATTGTAGGGGCAAAAGGAATGGCTTGGTGTTGAAGGAGCTAAGGAAATTTCAGCCCCAAATATGATTTCTTGGGAGAAAGATTATTTTGACATAAACGCTGTTCATAATCCGGAAACATTGATTGAAGCCTTTCCTCTATTTACCTAAAATCTAAAGGGGCTGCTGGCCTCTGTATCACATGCTAATAGATCTGGCTCCAAGGTCATTTGAAGCACAGTCCCTGCCTCTCACGTTAATTTACAAATCAATCTGTTTCCCTCCATCTACACATTCCCCCTAGCAACCACTTACGGCACCTATACTTTCCACACTCTTCCTCCTCCCTTCCAAAAGGTATCTATAAAAGTCACCCACCATCACTGAGACTTTGGGGAATCATTCTTGCGGTTCCCCTCGTGTGCATGGTTTTTGGATATAAACCTTCCTCTTATTAATCTACCATAATTGTGAATTAATCTTTCAGCGAACCAGTATCAGGGAAGAGGGCAAGTTTCACCGTGATCCCTACTGTGTAGAGGGAGAAAGACTCATGGGGTGATGTCCCTTCTCAGTGCACTAAGGGCACTCCTTCTGCAAATCTAAACATGTACAGTTCTAAACTACTGGACTGATTTCCCTGTCACAACACCCCTCTCTCACATCAGTTTCTCTCTGTAAAATTCCTCCAGGGAAAGAACTTTAACTTACCTGGCTTTGTATTTCCAGTGCCCAGCACAAAACCTGGCATATAGTAGACACCCATTAAATGACTGTTGAGCAAATGAAAGAAACAAACTTTGATGTGGCAACATACATAGGTCAACATAGGAGAGACCAACATAATTTCAAGATGACAAAAGAAGGGAGGCCCAGCTTAACACTTCTCCACTCTTAGAACTTTTCCTGATATAAAGTGTATCCATCTTTTTATGCTGCAAATAAAATGCCTTTAGTTTTGAATTTGGTCATTACCGAGATTGAAAGATGTAAAGTAGCACTGCCACTTTTTTAAAGAAGGGCCTCATGGGAATACTTATATACACTCTCTCACCTCTTTAGGGGTTAGGAGTCGGAAAGCCTCTGGAAACTGATGTAACTGAAATTAAACATCAATTCTCCACTGTATTTCAAAACTGTTTGAAACGGGGTAATGTAGCTTTATCCATAAACCAGCTGACCAATTTCTGATTTGTAGTTAATAACTGGATAAAACACAAAATTCCACTCCCAAGGCACAATACAAAAACACGGGTTCGAATTGCAGCTGACCTTGTGAGTTAGGAGAATGCTAATCAGCTGCTGAAATTTGATTATTTCTCTGTATTTCTCCCTACCCCCAGTTATATCATACTGAAATAAAGCAGTTTGGAAAAGCCTAATTTCCATGGAAATATTTATCTTAGTTTGCACCCAATTACTGTTCCTCCAGCAATGCAAGAGAAAGTGCTAACATAAAAGCATCCTTAAAAAAAAGTAAATGCTACTTAGTAATTGCAATTATTTCTGTTTAAATTAAAATAATAAAATATGTGCTAAAAACGGCAAAGACAAAATAATCTTCCCTGAACTTAGTATCTGGAACCTAGCTGTTTTTACACAGCAGCTTTTTATTAACGTGAACATTTTTAAAATTAAAGACTAGATACATATTTTCAAAATGAAAACTCCCAAATTACTACCCCACACACGCGCACAAAGTTCCGGAACGCGAATAAAACGTCCATATATCTTCAGCGCGCACACACACACACACACACACACACACACAAATTTAACACTAGAGCATTTTGCGATCTCCTTACCTAGAGTGCAGAATATTGCAGTGGGGCGGCCGATTTATTTGCTGGCAGCTTGGTTATCATAAAACGGAAGGGGCGTCTCGCTGGCTCATTTCCCCCCAGCCCTCGAAACCAAGCAGTATGCATCTACCCCTCCTCATTCGCTGGACTGACAGCCCTGAAAAAAGCGCCGCCTGCAAAGTGAGTGCCTGGAGCAGGGGACAGTCCCCGAGTGGCCACCCCTCTCGGTGACGCTCCACTTCCTGTTAGACCAAGAGGCATTCCCAAGAAGCTCGGTTTTGTAGTTTCCAGCTCACCTCCAAAAGCCAGTCCTTTTCTTCCCCCATTTCTTCCCCAAGGTAACAACTTTTAATCGCTCACGTGGCGGACCACCTGACCTTATCCAAATAATTTCCCGGAAAGGTGCCCGCACGAATGTTTCCTACGATCCTGGAGGCTCTGGAAGGGCCAGCTGGCCTCTCCTGCCTGCGCTCCGCACGCCCGGAGCGCCGCCGCAGAGTCAGCTTGTGCCTGCACTTCCCTGCAACCGGCAGCAAGGCTCCGACAGGAATTGTAGTGGCCGCTGCTGCTCCGGGAATGACCTGGAAGCGAAAGGGACGCGCACGAATTCTAGAGTTTAGCGGATTGAGATTGTAGGGGAAGCAATGCGTTCTCCATATCTCAATTCAAACAGGGTCTCGTTGGACCTACCGTTAAGGGCTTCTTTACTCTAACACCTTTAACAGTCTTTCTTCTGAAAGACATTGGTTGATCACCTCCTGCGTTGCGGAGGAGCGGGGTGGGATGGATTACTGGGATTTGGATAGCCCTCGAGTTCACCCAGCAAAAACATCCCTTGCGCTTCCTGCGGGCTGGCAGCAGGAGAACACGTGGCTGCCTGCAGTATTAACCATTGCTACCTACCGCACCAGGATTTGATGCCAATGGTGGGAGAAGGGACAGAGGGTAAAGTGTGGGCGCCGGGCCCCAGTGCATCCGGGAACACCGGCAGTAGGCGGTGAGGGTGGGCGTGAGCGGGCTCTCAAGCTCCTGCCAGCCCAGCCTGCAGGTTGCCACCTCACGATTTTGCTCCTGAGCCCAAGGGACCGGACCCTACCCCAGCCTAGCCTCTCACACACCCCTCATGGTTACCACCTCAGTCCATCTCTCAACAGGCCCAGGACAGTTTCCGCCCCGCTCCCGCCGTAGCTCCGCCCCCACGGCGCAGGCCCCGCCCCTCCTTTCTGTCCCAGGACGCGTTGCGCGGCTCGGGCCGGAAGTCAGCAAGCTCCGGGGTGTGTGTCTGTGTCTGGGTGTGTTTCCCGGAGGCGCGCGGTGCGGGACTAGCACTGGGGATTCCCGTCTGAGGCGTCACTACTGTCACTGCCATCGCCCCCACGGAGCCAATTCTAGAGGGGAGAAGACCCGGCCCTTCGCCGGGCAGAGAAGATGTTGCCTCTGTCCATCAAGGACGATGAATACAAACCACCCAAGTTCAATCTGTTCGGCAAGATTTCGGGCTGGTTTAGGTGCGGGGAGCTGTGTTTGCCGGGGCTGGGGGGTGTCCGGCAGATCGCGAGAGGGCCCAGACCTCAGGATGTCCCAAGGTCCAGGGAGGGAGAGTCAGGTGACCCCCCCCCCCCTTAACTCCCCTCGGTGAGGGAAAGAGCGATGGGACAGTCTTGAAAGGGGGAACCCAGCTTCGGGGACCTGGCACCCCCTTGACTCGCCCTGCACTTTCCCACTGTGTTATGCCCAGGTCTATCCTGTCGGACAAGACGTCCCGGAACCTGTTTTTCTTCCTGTGCCTGAACCTCTCTTTCGCTTTTGTGGAACTACTCTACGGCATCTGGAGCAACTGGTAACCAAAGGGGAAAATGGTTGCGGCGGAAGCAGGGGGTTGGGGAGACGAAGCACCGTTTGCTTAGTGCCACGTAGCTCCTCACCAGGAGGTTCAGGTCCTACCTTTGCCACCACCTCTGCTGCTGAGTTGCTTTCTCATGCCCGCACCAGTCTGGCAGGGCTACATTTCTTAACATCCGGGGCCTGTCAGGTGCAGCCTCCCTGTCATCTCCCCCACCTCTTATCAGACAAGACTGACAAGCCCCCTACTTATATTTGCAAATGGAGAATCTTTTACCTTTCATTGCACGCCTTAGCTTTGCCCACTTTGTTGGAATTAAAAGAAACCTGATCACTGTTGCTGTGGGGGAACTGGTATTTGGATTTCACCCATAGGGTTCTGAGAGAGAATATAGGAGATGTTCTACTTAATTTGTTACTAGGTTTTGATTGGGGAAAAGGTTTATGAAGAGATATTCAGAGAAATATGTGTCATTCACTTCTCACTTTAATTTAATGCTGAAACTGTCTCATGTTTTTTCCCTGGTCTTGACTTCAGTGAATAATCCTTTATAGTTTTCTTAAAGCTTGAGTCTCTTGAGTTGTTGGTTTTTGGTGTCGAATTTGGGGTTTGTTTTTGTTTTGAAACTGCTTCAGGAAGAGGAGAATCCAGTGTAACTCTATGGGAATGTAGTTGCTAGTATTCAGGTATGTGCTACTGAATAATTTAGGGCCTTGTGGAGTTGTTCTGCTAACAGTAAGCATCACACTTCTAGGTGTACTAATTTTGTCTTCAAATTCCATACTCAGTTAAGAATCTGATGAAAATCAACACTCAGAATTTTTTATAAGGCTTCAGATTTTTCATAGGTTCCCAGTAATAGGTCTTGGACCCCAGCTTAAGAACCTGTGGTATTTATGCTTTATTTTTTATTAATTAAATAGACTTAATCTCTGTCCTTTATAGGCTACTTTCAGGGAGAATTATTGTCCTTGATCTTTGTCTCTGTTGAGGTCAACCAATGATAATATCACCAGGATTGTATGTTTTTAACATGAAAAAAATGAGCTTCCCTTCAATTCAACTGTCAATACACTTATATCAAAAATACTAGATAGCCAGATTATGAAGGCTATTGGTTTAGTCAACACTTGGATATAAAAGGCATATTAATATAATGAAATCTTAATATGCGTAATAGCTATTTTGAATAATCTGAATCATAAATCTGAAGGATATTTTGACGTTACTTTTTAAATTTTATAATGTATTGACACCCTTTAGTGTACTGTAGAGGGTAAAAGCACTGTAGTCTTAACTTGCATTTGAATAATTATACTTTTATCATAAGCATATTATATTTATAGTATATTTTACACTTTTCTCTTTCTAAATTATGCCATAATTTTGGCATATGTGCTAATTGTATCAAGACTGTATCAAAGCTTATATATGCAGACTTTGCTACAGTTACTTTATATGGCAGTACTTTATAGTTTTCATCATGGCCTTCCATCGCATGAATCTCCCTGTGTAGTATCTTGTTCAAGGGGTTCATATCTGAAGTGCCTAAACTACCTCTTTCATAGGAAGGTATATAGTAACTCTTTTGATCGATAGAGAGCTATGGAAGAATTCCTAAAACCATTGTTTCACAAGTCAGTATAGGGTACATGTGAATCTTTGTAAATGTAGTATATAAATGTCTTAACATAATAACTAAGAAAATGACGTGAAGGCTATGTTAACCCATTTGATGAAAATATTTCAGATTGTACATAGAACCAGCACACTGTACCCCATAACTGAATTAATGTACACAGCTATGATTTAATTTTTAAAAAAAGTCAGTATATATCAGTGGGTAACAAAAACATCAGTGGTAGGTGACTTTCTTGCTCCTTTGCTCTTAGGTGACTTGTTCTTCTGTATCCTTCCCATTTTATTCTCTTTCAATGTGTATATCTTCTAGATTTGAATCCTAGCTCTAGTGTCTGTCCTACATAGATCATTTAGCAGATAAATGATTCAACTTCTTATGCTTATGTATGTTAATCTCCATAACTAAAACGATTTATTCCCTGATGTCAATTTTTATTGGTGCTTTGGGGGTACATAATTCTTCCCATTGATATTTTGCCAGATTTAGAAATTTGTGTGGCCTTTTTATAATCTGACTTTTCATGTTTTATTAAGACAGCAACATTTTTAGTTCCTTTTGTAGACTAACCAATAATTTTTTTATATGACCAGATTATCTGTGTTACTGCAGTTACTGTGTTACTGTAAAGTTCTTTGATGAAATTTCTTATCAAACCCCATTTTGTCACTGTCATTTCTATGTTCAGTTTCATTCTTCAAAAATAAATTTCAAGTTGTTGAGAACATGAAATATCAAGAATTTTTTCCCCTAAGGGCATGAAAACGTGGAAAAGTACTTCATAAATAAGGTTCATAGAAGCAATTGATCTGGTAGCAACAAATGTTAAAAATGGTCCTGGTTTTTGTTCAGAACCTTCATTTTAAAGGAAGAACTTAATTATAGTTAATTTATTTTTGATGGCGAGGTGGTGTCTTCAGTGGAAGAATAGCTAAGTTCTTTGTATATTTTTATCCCATTAAATATCCACTACCTTTCACCTTTCCACTAGAATGTAGACTTTATTAAAGCAAGGATCTTTTTTGTCTTTTCAGGTACCTTAGTACCTGGCACATAGTGGATGCTAAATACATATTTGCTGAATGAAAAATGAAAAAATGAGGGAATAATTAATGTGTTGAATTAGTTTACCTACACCAAATGCGCTAACTTACCCCTGTTAGGGAAGGAAAAAAACCCAACAAAACATTAAACCCTTTCTCTCATTCAGAAGTTAGAGGGAAAGATAGGAATACCATATGGGATTTTTCTATGCTTCTAGAGTGTTCCCCTTGTAGTAATTTGTTTTCATTTAGTTATTTATTGCTGAGTAACTGATTTCAAGGTAACACAGTTAAGAGTGTGGTTTTATACCATCTAGGATTAACTGTGTTTTCAAATTACAGGAAAACTTCCAAATAATGGTTGCTTAAACAAGATACAACTTTATTTCCAAGATGGCTGTTAGGGTTCCAGCCATCCCTGGCAGCGTAGTGTCTGGTATGCAGAGAAAGGCAGAAGTTGTATTTCGTTGTCTCTTAAGTAGATTTATCTGGCTGCTAACACAAAATACTTCAACTAAAACTTTATCCCATGGTCCTGTCGCGTTGCAAATGTGGTCTCCATTGCAGTCAACCATGTATTCTGCTGAAAGTTAGGATTCTTTACTAGGGATGAAAGGGAATATGTAGATACCATAGGTTCTAGAAGGACTAGAGAGAGAGAGAAACTAATCTAACGTCTTGTAGAGTTAGAAAATGGAGGCCTGGAATTTTTTACTTTCCAAATCAGCAGTAGAGCCTACAAAACGTGTCATTTAATGTTTTTTCCCCTACCACAGCATGCTTTTTCTCTACTATTTCAATATAGTTTGCTTTGTTTTTATACTTCTCTGTTTTACTTTTACTTTATTATGAAGAAATTTAATTTAGTAGTATTTTCTACCAAACCTGTTGCAACTATTTTTCCCTAGATGTACAAGAAACTCAGGTAGCTCTGTAGGTAAATGTCTTTGTGTTAACAAAGTAAATATTTGTTTACTAAATGTTTAAGGCAACACTGGATATCCATTTGATTTTCCTTCTACATAAAGTGTCACAGTGTATGTTTATAAAGTAATTCCTTGGTAAAGAAAAGTACTTTCATTAATCACATACGTTTCTACGAAATTAATATTTTTGTGTATCTTAGTCCTTTAGAAAACAGTTTACCCTTTTTAAAGACAACATTACTTATCAGCTTATAGTGATGCTTTCCTAGAGTTTTATTCTTTACCTTAAAAGCTTAGATTAAGTAATCTAATTTTGCTCAGAGAAAAATTTTTAAGTAAGAGATTATATAATGGAATGTAGTAAAGTTATGAGCTACTTCACTGCAACTTATTAGTTTATTGACTTTAATGTGAGGATTCTAAGAATTTTCTAATTTTTTGATAATAAAGTGCTAGTCAGTGTTTTTCCTTATTCTACGTCATGAGAACCAGTTGGTAAGGAAGGTGTGAGTTATGATGATCCCGTATCTTCAATTTGGAATTGATGTTTAACAAACAATGTAAATATACTGTTAGGTTATTTATCAATAGACTCTTTTCAAAACATTTTATTGTGGAAAATTTTAAACATATAAAAGTAGAGAGTTCAGTGGACCTCACGTACCCATTCACTCAATACCTGGTCCATTTTATTCTCTTATCCCTGTCCCACCACTGGATTCTTTTAAAACAGATATAAGATATACTTTCCTCCATAACTATGTCAGTATGAGTCTCTAAAAGTTAAGAGTTCCCCCTTTTAGCATAACTCCAAATCATTATCACCTACAAACAGTAATGTCTCCCTAATATCTCGTTATTCCTCATTGTCTCATAAATTGTTTTTCATTTGCTTTTATGGATCAGAATCCAAACAAGATCCACACATAGTATTTATTTGATTTGTCTCCTAAGTCTGTCCTAATTTATAGGTTTTCTTCCCCCCTTTCTTTGTTTTTGCCTCCAGTAGACCTTAAAGTCCTTTTCAAAGTTTCTTTGGCCATATGTTCTGCTCACATTTATTCTGTTTTGCTTTAGTGTTCAGGTTTCTCCTTTGTAACCTAAGTTTTCCATGTTAAAATGTCTTTAGAAAGTAGTCACTTAAAAAAGTTAAAAAAGTATGTCTTGGAGAAACTAGCAGTGCATGGGTGGCCCCTGTTGCTTAAGGAGTAGGGCGCTGGCCCCATATACCGGAGGTGGCGGGTTCAAACCTGGCCCCAGCCAGAAAGAATCCAGCAGTGCGTAAAAAGGAGACTAAAATAAGTATACTGATTTTAGCAACTATTTTTTAAAATCACGATTTACAGAAGTTAAGAATAAACATTTGGTATTTAAGTCATATAATCTTAGTCTCTATGCTACCTTTATTTTTTAAGGAAATTTATGCCATATAGTCAAATGATAATTTATAATCAGAAATATTTGCTGATATTGAAGATGAATAGTACAACTGACATTATTTGGGAGCAATATTTTTACCCATAATAGATGAGCAGAGAACTAAAAGCAAACTGTTCTTCACATGCATTTGTCTATGTATTTGCAGCTAAGTAATTTTTAAATCATGATATCAGGTCTAAGGCAAAAGATCTCATATTGAAGTGCTTTAAGAGAACATGATGTTCTTCCATCTCAGAAGAGGGAGTAGTTTTTCAGGTAGAGTCACATTTTATTAAATACTAAAAATAAAATAATATTTTAAGGAAAACTGTATTTACTTAAAATTTAAATAAAACTTCATTTTGAGGAGTACTAAAATTTCCATGCTCTATCTTTATTGGCCAGGCACGGTGGTTCATGTGTGTAATCTCCCAAGGTGGCAGGATTGCTTAAGCTCAGGAGTTTGAGACCAACCTGGGCAAGAATGAGACCCTGTCTCTACTAAAAATAGAAAGTATTAGCTGGGCATTGTGGTGAGCTCCTGTAGTCTTGGCTACTCAGGAGGCTGAGTCAAGAGGATTGCTTGAGCCCAAGAGTTTGAGGTTGCTATGAGCTCGGCTGACTTCACAGACACTCTGTTTAGCCTGAGCAACAGAGTGAGGAGTCTCACAAAAAAGGGGGGGGGAACTTGAATCCCGTAGTGCCTTTTTTCCCCCATTAAGGCAATATGTGGTGTCTTTTGAATGTATATAAAGTAAATTTGTTTAAAAAATTGTGTGTATTAGTTTGCTAGGGCTGATATAACAAAATACTAGAATCTGAGTGACTTAAAAAACAGAAATTTATGGTCTCACGGTTCTGGAGGCTCTAAGTTTGAGACCAGGGCATCTACAGGCTTGATTCCTTCTAAGAGTTTTGAGGAAGAGTCTGTTCTATGACTCTGTCGTAGCTTCAGTTGGTTTGCTGTAAATCTTTGACATCTTTTGGCTTGTAGAAGTGTCACCTAATCTCTGCTTTATCTTTACATGGTGGTTTCCTGTGTGTTTCTTTACCAAATTTCCCTTTTTTATAATGACATGAGTCACATTGGATAGGGACTCATCTTAATGGCCTAATCTTGACTAATTATATCTGCAGTCAATCTTTTTTCTAAATGATGGAGGGTACATTCTGAGGTATTGGGGGTTAGGACTTCAACAAATACATTTGGGGAGTGGGGACAGGAGGACACAATTCAACCCGTGACATTGTGTTTTACTAAATATAGGTGTAGATCAGTAAATCAATTAAATATTTGTTTACATTTATTTAAAATAAATTTTATTTTTTATTTTATTATCAAAATATTATTAAATTATTTTATTAAAGTAAATCCACAGCTTTTTAAAGTTGATTTATAGTTATTTAAAACAAAAGTCATATATACAATAAAATGCATTAAGAAATAAAAACTACTTTTTCTATTTGTGTGAAGATAGTTGTTTTGATTTTTAGTTTGTAGCATTTCCAACTGGTAAAAACTCTAACGTCTACCCAAATGTTCTATGTTTATGCTTGGAAATACCAGTGACTGTAAGGTATTAATAATTACTAATAATTAACATAATTTATTAATAATTATGGCAACAATAGGAATATAGACGTGGGTTTAATGTGACAAGCACTGTGATAAATGGTACACTGACGTTAGCTCAATTATGATGACAATTATGATGCTTTTATATTATCACCCTGCTTAACTGTAGGCTAGATTGGGTAGAGAGAAGTTAGGCTTTTATATTATC